CATGTTTTCTGCCACATGCAGGGTAAGGAAAATAGCTATGCGATGTGCATGCCCCAGTTTACACCAAGCTTGAATTATATACAGAGGTTTCCTCCTCTAACTTTCCCTAGCTCTAGGCAGAAATACATTTTCCTTTAAAAGTGAGAAATAGATATGTTTAAAAGACAGTCCAGGCCCTTTAGAAAAGCACTTACTTTGAAAGAACAGGACAAATCATATATTCAAAACAAGAGCACCTTCTTAAGGAGCGGCTCAGAAGTTGTTCAGTGGCCATGGCCTCGATTTGTGCTTGCAGCTTTAATCCTGCTGGGCATGGTTCACAGGAAGGCTGGCAGACTGCATGGAGTGGTCCTCCTGGGGTGCTGCGTCAGAATGACGCTCTGGAACAGTTACTGGGACAGACTGTGAGCAAGTCATCAGGACAGTTTTATTTCTGTGCTGAGACCGCTGCTTCCCGATGGGAAAATATTGATGGTAAAGTTACCCCCAGGAATCAGGCAGCCACTGAGCAAACCCAGGTGATCTGAGTTCTAAGCAGTGGCCAATGCCCACCAGTGGCCTCTTGGGCAGGGGGCAGGTAGCCCTAGAGGGAGGCTCAGCCGGAGTCATTGTCCTTCCAGCGGCAGTTCCTTGACCCTGCCAAAGGCATGACTCAGCTCACTCACGGCACTGCTGGATGATGCTATTTATCTCCCCTAGTCCAGGAAGCCTTAGTTCCAGGCAGAAACTGGAGAAGAGACAGAGGGGAGGCTGCACTGGTCACTTTGGTCCCTACCTCAGTGGGGTCTGAGTGTGGTTTCATATACAGGGACGTTTATCACCTGTCCTGCAGAACTTATTGCAATACAGTGGTGTAGGACTCTGTGGGTTCCTGATGACTGAAGAGCTATACATCTGTCAAGTAATATCCTCTAGACCAGTGGTGGCAAACTTATGGCATGCACGCTACAGTGGGCTGTTTGTACCACTGAAAGCTCTAAAAGGTTCACCATCACTGCTCTAGACTAATGCAGTGGTTAGGGTGAAGAGTCAGCTTGGTTGGCTTTGGAATCTACCCCCAGGGGCTTGTTGGGATGCGCTTTACTCTTTTATTTATACTGTGGGTTTCTCATATTAAAGGAACCATGTGATATTTAAATGTGTGCGTCTGCTCTATTTCACTTAATATTATGGACATGAAATGCATACATTTTCCTACAAATGATTCAAGTTTATTCTTCTAGGTGGGTTTTAGAGTTGTTGCTTTGGGATCCCCTGCTCCTTCCTCTCTGGCACTGCTGCCTTCCTCCATTTCCTGGCCTCCGTGAAGTAAGCAGCTTTGCTCTGCTATGCCCTTCCACCATGTTTTTCCTGCCTTGGAGCCATCTGACCATGGACTAAATCCCCAAAACTATAAGCTAACTTGAACATCTCCTTTAAGTTGTGAGTATCGGACATTTTGTTCCAGCAAATTGAAACTTGAATAATACAAATAAAGGTATGGTGCAGTGTGGGAAGTTTGGGATCTTTGGAAGATTTAAGCAAGGACACTAAAGTTATGTAGCTCTAGCCCTCTTTTACTGTTTGGTATTAAGGATGAATTGACAAGGGACACTCTCTGTCAGGGGAAGGAACACCCTCCCCCCCAGTAAGCATGAAATGGAGTAGACCTTGGACTTGGATTTCAGATAGTCTCTCCGGGCTTCACTTTCCATGTGAAAAGGTTTTATGACCCCTCAAATGTTAATGCCCCTTTCTTCCAAGCCTTGCCACCTAGCACATGCTCTACTACAGAAAAGAAATCAAATGAGCCAATCTGGTCTCCCTATGGTTTCCATTCCTCTCCCTCTTCTTCTCCACAAGGCAGTAAATTCTGGCAAAGGACTGCCCCTTAGCATTGCCCCCTGACTCTACCTACTTTTAGCTAAATTCTTAAAAGCCAAGAATTGATTTTTCTCAAGTTGTTGGAGAATGTGGCAGACACAGACATGTGCGACACAGATATCCCTTCAAGAAAGGACACTGCCCAGCTGTTAGAAGGCTTCTGGATGCCAATTCCTTCAGGTCCACCTCAGTTTTGAGGGATTCCCATGGTCTTCCTAGGGTGTCCAGCTGATGATGGAACTAGTTGGGGGTGGCAAAGGCCAAGCCAATCCTACCCAGCATGGTGGGTGCCTCTGAATAGCAGGCTTTGCTCCTGGGGTTTCCCTGGGGTGCAGGTCCCTACACAATCCTTCCTCCCCTCTTCATTTTCTACATCTACTTTTGGTACTAGGAATTGAGCTCAGGACCTTGCACTTGCCAGGCAGGTGCTTGTGCCACTGAGCTATATCCCCAGCCCTCTTCTACTGGTTTTATGTCTTACTTGTCAAGTCAGCATCTACATCCCAGGGGGCCCAACACAGAGATGCCAGTCACTGTCATGCATATGCCCCAATGTTTTATTTTTCCAAAAAGGACCTATGATTGGCTCTAGAAAATCATCTTTGAGTGACACGATCCTTATCTTTGTAGCATAAAGATCTGCAACACAGATTTCCTTCTCATTCTCTTACTTACAGACACACAGAGTATTGGTTCCTGTCAGTTTTAGCAAATGGTTCTCAACCAGGGATGCATATAAGAAAAATCCCACAGGCTTTTTCAATGTGTAAACAGCCAGGCTCCATGTGCAAAGTATCTTTGGTGGTTTGTGGTGCACCATTGGTTGAGGACCAGTGACTGTAGCAGGGAATTCCTTCCTATTTAAGCCTCTTTCTGAGATAAGTCCAGCAAAGATCATTCCCGAGGTTCAAATCCATGTATACCTTACATTGTCAGCTGAATGGTCCTGTTAAATCCAGCTAGTCATGTTGCAGACCAATTTCAGAGTACAGTTACTTTTCTTAGAAAATATTAGGAAGGATAGCAAACTTTGGGATCATTTTTAATTTTGAAGATTCCAGTGAAAACACAAAAGTTATGGAGCCATAGATTTCCATGATCATAGAGAGCCCGGGGCAAGGAATTTGGTGCTGGAAAACTGGAAACAAGTCTTGTATCATGTCCTTTATGCTTCCTGGGGGTCATAATTGGGCTCATATTTCACAAACTAAGTCATCCGAGGGCTGAGCTTTGGAGCATCAGCTGAGATCATCTTCTGTTCCCTGTTTCTCAGGGAGAGGTCACTCATTTCAATATCAGGAGAGAAGCCTGGACCACGATATTTCCTGCGTCACTGAATACCATCACCTGTGATGCTGTGTGTGTACAGTTAGCTTTGCGGTTGAGTTGCAGCAGTTTTGTTTCAATGCATAGCTTGCACACAAATATGCACATGAGCTGAGATTCTCTAGTACTGAGAAACCCTACCTTTCTGAGGATACTAGCTCGAGAAAGAAGAAAAAGGACACTTCCAAAGGGATAATTTGTTTTTGTTTTTTTGTCTTTTTGAGACAGGGTCTCACTATGCAGGGTCTCACTATGCAGGCTGGCCTTGAGCTCACTTTGTAGCCCAGGCTGGTCTCGAACTCACAACAATCCTCCTGCCTCAGCCTCCCAAGTGCTGGGATTACAGGCATGTGCCACCACACCTGGCTTTAATTTGGTATTCTATAAAGAGCTTCTCTCTGGAACTTTGCATCCAAGAAGAAAGTGCAGCAGTTCAGGGAGAATGTAAAGAGATAGCGTTGCTATGCATTGGAGGCTGGGGGTGGGGGTGGGGACTTTGTCTTTGCATGACTTTTACTTCTCCTAAGTGGGGAAGCTTGGGTGTACAGGAGTTGAGAAAAGTGAATCTTCTGCAGAATTCTAACACATCACAGTGCCACAGAGGGGGTGTTTCCCAACAGCACCACAATAAGGAGATGTGATAAGTAAAACAGGGATTTAAAGTTCCCGTGTTGGGCCTACCCCTGGGCATCTGGCAGCATGTGTTAGGTACTAATTTAATGCTTCCTGAATACACATCAATGTTCTATAGTAACATTGAAATGACTAACAAAGGAAGCTGCCCCCTATGTGAGCTGGGAACAGTGTCCTGCAGCAGAGGAGATGTGGCCAGTGTGTGAGAGGGTGAACTCAACTCCGGCCACCTTCCCTACACCAAGACATTCACCGATCCCTCCTGAGGGTTAGTGCAAGGATTTGCTGAATACAAACATGGATGTACTTAGTAAACTTGCAGCGTGCTACTCAATCGTTGAGTTTTTGTTAATTTTTTGGGAAAGACCTCCTTTAAGGATTGGCAGAGGGAGTGTCAGTAGAGCAGCATGAGGGCCCCTCATAGATATGGATTCCAGCTCGAACCATGGGCCACCACTGAATCCCCACTCCTCAATCCCTGCTCCTCACTTACCAACAAGGAGACTCCAGCCAGGGTGGCCCAGCTCCCTCATACACATATGGGGATATAGTCACACCTACCACTCAGGCGAAGCCTTGCGGGGAAATCATGCACCACAAATGAATTGTGATTCTTGTAAACCAGGGCTGTCATCACAAGTAGAACAGAGACATAGGAAGAAGACTTGGCAGGGAATTGGGGGGTGGGAACTGGTGGACAGCATTTTCCAGGGAAAGTCTCCCAGAAAAAAGAGGCAAGGGGTCCATTCTATCAGCCCTTCAGCCTCCTGGTAACCTGATTCTAAGTGAGGAGGAGACTTTGATGCTCTTGTCTCAAGGCGAATTTCCATGTGTCCATATTAGCTGTAAGGTACTGGAGCTCTTGGCTGTCCTTTTGGAAGGATCATCACAGATTTTGTTTCCAGGTACAAATTCACTTAGGACAATAGTACGTTCACATCACACAAGGACTTGACATGCAAAGAACATCATCTCAAAATGCAGCACAGTTGAATTCTGGGGGAGTGAGGGGGGATGCAGGAGTGGGTGATGGATCTTAATGTCTGGGTTGCACTGGAGGTAATTCCGGGCAGGGCGGCCAGAGCAGGCTGTGGGCTGAGACACATTCCATCATGAGCGGAGAGGGTTTATAATGGAATGGCATGGATGGTTTCTTATAATCAGAAAAGCACACTGACCTTCACACTACACAGGTGCAGCAGCATAATGGCCCACCACGCGCACGCGCATCAGTTCCTGGGAAGAGTCCAAGGAGGTTAACTCAGCGTGCATCCGGGCAAAGGAAATCAGCGACATTATCTGAACAGAGAGCCCTATTCCCCTGCCCCCACCAAGACATCTTGGGCAAAAACCACACAAAGGTCCTACTCATTCTGCTAAAATGGATAAAAGGTAACAAGCAATATCATTCTCTGTCACTGATCATTTGATTTGGCTTTTAGATTTTACCTTAAAAAGTAAGATCATGGCCCTAGAAAAAATTTTCGTTTTCCTCTTCACTAAGCAGGGATTTGGTGTTGGGGGGCAGGTATCTGTGGAAGAAGGGAAGTTGAGTCCCCCCAGTCTTCTGAGAAAGCTACATAAAAGCATCCTTGGCTGTATTCCATTAGTAAGACCTCTGACTATAAGGAACCCAATGTACTACAATTGAATGGTGCGGATACACTGACTTCAGGGCAAAGTTTTAACTGCCTCTTGCATGTGTTCAGATATGAAAGACACAGAGGGAGCCCTGTCGCCTTGCATGAAGTGCCCAGTGGGGTCTCTGTCACCCCAAAATCAATCAACTTGGCATCACTGGCCACTCACTGGCACTTACCAGTCATGTAAAAAATGAGCATAAAGGACTTGAATAGGAAAATCGTTAATATCTATCAGAGTCCCCTCAGTCTAAGATCACGTTGGCTCATGAGTCTTTATTTTGATTTTATAACCTCACCTTCTTCCAAATTCAGGATTGCCACCAAATTAATCAGTATGGCCTTATTATAGAAAGAGAGTAGTGTGTGATGTCAGCATTCCCAAACTCAGGGGAAATCTGAAGCTTTGCTGACAAATGAGTTCGTGTAAGAAATGAACAGCAAGCTTGCATTCTAGGTACACAGATTATGTTTACAACCCCTAGTTTGAGCAGACTTGAGTAGGAGAGAGAGACTTCAGCAGTCCTGTGTTAAGCTTTTCCCAGTACCAGGCTGGGCACTACTGAACTTCTGGGTAGTGATGGGTACCACACAACATTCCCTCCTCCAGGTCCCTGCCCACCACGGCCACTGACTTGCAGCTGGCTTCTTTGGTGATCCCAGGTTTGTTTCATTTGTAGACTTCTCTTGTTTAACTTCCCAAGGTTGGTGGACCTCAGTGCCTCAAATATTCACATGCAGGCCCACATTCCTGCCCCTGGTCTCCATGACCACCTCAACAGTGGCATCTCCTGAATGTTTGTGACAGTTCAGAGCACTCACCTGCAGTCCAAACCTCACCCATCTCATCTTGTAACCACCTAAACAATTGTCTTTTCATGGCTGCTTCAAAGTCCTCAACCGAAGCAAAACATTTACGACAATTTCTTTCAAATAAAAACATTTACAGTTTATCCTTATTCATGAGATCTGGTACTGTGCAAATTCTAGCTCTTCCCCAAAGTCAAAGTGACCATGAAAGGTCAATATTTTGAGTTGATTCAAGACACTGACGTAACCACAGCATTGCCACTAAAGACACTCAAGAAAGAGGACTCCAGAACTGCTTCAGAAAGGGCCAGAACCATGGGATAAGTGTATTTAAAGTGAGAGGAGGATTTAGAGAGGGATTCATGGCAATGTGTCTTTTCCTGTAAGACATCTTTTAAAAAATAAACATTTGCTGCATTTTTCAATCACACCTCTTGGATAGACATGGAAACCTGAAGGTGGGAATTCCTTGCTTTAGTGGTTTTTCTGGCTTCCTTGAAGCTCAAGTTCCAAATATTAGCTTGAGATGCATTTCCTATAAACGTGCAGACTGGATCTGGTCCTGGACTCCCTTCACTCCATCTTTGCTAGGACTCTCACAGTTTCAGGGGTACTTGCTTCTCCTTCCACCTGCCACCTGCTTTCCTCAGCCTTTCCTCTGCCGTCATCTTCAGTCCCCAGCCTCCCCTGGGCCCCTCTACTGCAGGAGAGAGAACCTGGAATAGTACCCTGTACTATTCTGACAGTTTTAAAATTAATTCTAATGAAGTATTTCTCTAACTATGTGGCATCTGCCTTGCAAAGCTGACTTAGCAGTTTTCTGGGGCTGGGCCAGTATCCTCAGTACTTAGGAGCCTGGTCAAGTAGGCTCACTATGTCCACAAGAGGAGAGTGAATGTATGAATAGCCAGGGCTGGCTCGGTCCTCGAGGAACTGAGTCTAGATGTTAGAAGACAGAGAAGAAAACTTTTGCTGCATCTGACCTGAGCAAAATGTTGATCCAATTAGACCCGCATGCATGTTAGGTGAGTGAGTACAAAAGGATAAGAAGACCATTCAAATTAAATGTTATGTATTTAGCACTTATCACTGGGAATATTGATGTATTTCATTGTATGGTTTACTGTAAGATCTTATTTTGTTTTGTTCAATACTGGGGGTTGAACTTAGGGTCTTTGTGCTGAACTACATCCCCAGACCTGTTTTTCTTTTCATTTTAAGACAGGGTCTCACTAGGTTGATAAATTGCCCAGGTTGGGGCTTGACCTTAGGATACTTCTGGATCAGCCTCCCACAGTGCTGTGATCACAGGCATGCACCGCTATGCCCAGCTTGTAATTGTTTTGGTTTTTTTACAATTTACTAATTGTAAACTGTAAAACATGACTCTGCAAAAGAGGAGGAATAACAGCAGAAGTGGAGACTTTATAAGGACAGTGAAAGAGGACCCAGGTCTAGACCCTGAAATCTCATACCACCCAGCCAAGAAGAGCTCAGATGGGAACCTCTGGGGCCCACTCACAGTAAGGCCTCAGACAAGGACCAAGTGATCTGTTAGTGAAAGCGGCCAGGAAGTACGTGTTTCCACTCCCTGCCTTCGCTGACTTGGGCTCTCCGGTTCCTCACTTCTCTTCATTTCTGCCCTGAGAGCCAGCTTGATGGCAGTGAAGGAACACAAAGATTTGGGAACCTCAAGTGATGACGAGGGACTGTGTTAGGCGCCAGCAAAGTTTCACTTTGTAAATCACCTGAGATGAGATGCTTCACAGTGACATCTGCAACTATATCCAGCTCAGCTCCCCTCCTGAGTTCCAGGGCTGTGACCTTTGGGGACACACTCTTGGAACCCTGCACATGGCTGCAAGAATGTCAGGGAAGGACACTCTGGAGCCCCTGGGCATAGTGGCAGGAGAGCAGGGGCAGCCTCGTAAGACTCAGCCCTTTCCAAGGGCGCCAGACACTCTTGCCTCAGCCCCCAGCTCCTGCATCCTCTCCAGCACCTGAGAATTAATATCGGACAGGGCCTGTCATTCCTGTTGGGTGCTGGAAGGTGGAAGCACCACCTCCATGGGCAGATGCTCTGGTACCCTTGCTAGGTCACCTGGGCAGAGGTATGATATATACTTTTTTCCAGAACTGGGGACTGAACCCAGGGCCTTCATCCTGAGCTACACGCCCAGCCCTTTCCTTTTTATGTTGAAGCAGGATTGTCTTGTTAAATCACTCAGTTCCCCAGGCTGGGCTCCAACTTTGACATCCTTCTGCCTATGCCTCCCAGAGCGGAGCTGGAGGCATGCACCACCACACCCAACTGTGATTTTTAAAAATGAAATAAATCAGATGTTACTTCTGGGCCAATATTAATCTGCTTCTGCCCAAATGAACAAATGATAGAAACCAAATAACAAAAAACACAACCCAGCCCTCAGACCACCCAAGTATAACTGGGTTTTTTTTTTTTCCTTGCTGCTCAGCATCCTTCCTTTTCCTTCTGCTGTCTGACAGGTGGAGGATTTTAACAAGAGGTTAAGATCATGGGTGGGGAGTATATAAACTAGCAATGTAAAAGACACATTTAAAAAAATCTTTTCCATAATTATAGAAACAACACACATTTGCTGTTTTAAAGAAGCCAAGTCTTAAAGACAATGAATAATACGAGAAGTCACACGTCATCCCATGTCCGAAGAAAGCCAGAGATTTCTGTTTGCCAAGGGGTGACCCAAGAGAGGCCCGGCTGAGGTATGGCCTTCTAGGTGAGGTGAGTGTCCCTGGATCCCACTGATCTGGGGTGACAGCCACAGAGAGAGCCCCTTTAAAGCATTGAAAACAATTTCCACTTACTTTAAGTAGGCGTATTTGATATACCAAGAAAACAGTCAGCCAACACAAGCACTTCTCACAAAAGACCACAGTTGTGACTAGCAACTATTTTAAATTGTCCTTGTGTGAATCATTGTCCTTTAGGGTCTGTTGAGTTCCAGCAAGAGACATCAAGTTGCAGAGACATCTAAAGACATACAATTGCTGTTTGATTACCCCAACCTCATGAGAAGATTTAGTTCCTCATTTTCTAAGAACCTAGGCCAGTGTCATTCATCTGATAAAGATCTGCTGATGGCCTGGCTAACCAGGTGCACAGAAGAAGGAAGGACCCCCGTGTGCACCCGACACATGGCTAATCCCAGACACACCACACTAGGCCCACTTGGAAGGACAAGTTAAGGTCAGATGCATATGGTTATTTTTGAGTTTTTTATTTAAAGGTTATGAATTATTTATTTCTGTGATTTTTCATCTAACATTTATTTTTTCTTTTAAAGAGAATAAAAAATAAGAAAAGTAAGAAAAAATAAAAGCAATACAGGATTTCAAAACAAGATGATAAGAAATTACAATGGTTGTTATATTGTATATGGTTATCTTCAAAGTAGTTGTTCAGATTACCAGATATAGGCATGCAAAATTGACCGAACAATTAAGCATTAACTGCTCCTTTCAATAAGCCAATAGAAATTAGTAGTACAATTATCTTGGCTATCTTGTGTATATGTGCATATCTTTTTATTTTCATTCCTTCTTTTCTCCTTTCCCTCTTCTCAGTTGTTTTTTCCTTTTGAGCAGTTTCTTTACCTTTCACAATGTCTATTGTGCCTTTCAGATCTTATTTACTCTTTCAGTTTCTATACTAGGGAGACATATGTTTTGAATGCAATTAAAAACTCTTCTTCATAAGGCCAAGACATTCTTATTGGGTAATTTAATACAACTATCCTTGTTCTGCCT